TGGAGCCATTGTTGCAGCAATCTCCTACATTGCGTCGCCACCCTCATCGTTAGTTTTTTTTTTTTTCGCAGTTTCATGTGATTTTTTACCTCATACGCATTTATTCTAAACTATTCATGTAGAAATTGAGCGTTTTTTGCATCTGTTCGATGCGGAAAATGCATATATGTCGTCTGTGTGTGTTTGCCTGTCTTACCGATTTTTCATCTCGAGACTCACAGAAGCTACAGAGCTGAGACTTTGGGAACTTAATCTCTATACACATATGGGCCCTCTCACCCGTGTGGTACTCACGTATGAGGTCGCCGAAGTTTTTGACGAACAAGTTGCTAATTCGGAACCAGCAAAGCTAGAAAGCTGAAATTTTAAGGGGAAGTTCTTCGTCCAAGTAGGTCTTAATGGGCTCAAACCCGGACACCGGGTATGCCTGCCTCCCAATTACGGGCCTGAGAAAGTTTTTTTCGGGGAAGTTACTAACTCGAGAAACACTAAAGCTAGAAAACTGAAATTTTAAGGGGGTGTTTCCTGACTGCCGGTCTCAATTCGTTTAGTTAGAAGCATCTGCAGGAAAAACCGGTGCTGTTAGTGACAAAAATCTGCGGAGAATTATGCAAAAAACGCATCTTCACACTGGCAGTCGGGGCGCTGGCCAATTATATCTGCTTTCTTGCCATTGCGTTTGCATTGCGCATCGTAGATTTCTGTTACATCTGGCGCCCTGGATTCCCCTGCCTCGTCATCTCGCTCCGTTTTCTTGTTCGGAATCAAGACGCAATAAATTTGCTTCAGAATTTGTAGCTGGCTGTTAGTTTTGCTCCGTGGTTTTTTCGGACTTGTCATGACCCCTTGTACCGGGTTTTTTCTCACTGACTCCTAATCGGTTTTGCGCTCGCACATTGTGACCTTGTTAGTACTTGCGCGTAAGCACTGCTGTGTATGTTTTATCTGCGATAGACGTGTCCGGACAAGGATTTCTCATGTTCACAACTTCGAGCAGTCATGTACCGTTCAGAGAGCGTGTTAATCGCCTCTAGACTCGGCACGCTGGGGCCGGGACGAGTGCAGGCCCGAAATATAGTATAAGGAAGCTTTTCGAGCATCTTTCTACTGCAAATTTTTGAAAAAAACCGAGGTAGTGTGGTTGCATTTGATGTGATTTCAAGTACCTTTGCATCCAAAGCTAGTGCCATGAAATTTTTCAGCTGTTTCAGTGAGTGTGAAAGTGCACTGTGATTAGTGACATTTGATTGCAGTGCCAAAACGAAATAAAGTAAACTGGCAATTTTTTCTTGTTTCAGGGCAGAGGGTTCGCTGCGTTCGGACTTCTATGGAATGGTGCTGTGCTGTGGGGAGCACGCTCTGCTGACGTTGTTTGAAGCACTGTGTTGTTATAAACTGCAAACGAATGCTGCTGTGGACCACTTACCATGGCTGCTTGTTTTCGCTCCTGTTTTCGCGCTCAGTCTGCTCTCCGTGGTTGTCGCTATCTGGGCAATCAGGAACGATAAGTGCTTTGAGGTTCACTTATATCTTTCCGGTTTGAAGAGAGACTGGTTCCTGTTTCAGATGTGTCAATTGGGAACTAACTTTCTTCCTTAGCCATTTTTCCAGAAAATATCGATTAAATTATTTTTCAGTTGGAACTTTTCTTCTCCATGAACATTGTACAGTTCGTTTTTGTGGCATTTAAATTGGACGGTGTGTTGGACTGGCATTGGACGATCGTATTCATCCCATTGTGGGTTGTGCTCTCACTGAGCGTCGTTGGAGTAAGTGCAGTTAGTGTTATTTGAAGTGCTTTATAAACGGACTACGATTTGCTCATATTTCTATGCCCATATGTTTTCATGACCGAAATTTCAGAGCGTATAAGGGCCCCAGACACGAAGTGAAATGAGATTCTTCCTGCCTTAACTTATAACGTGAAGCTTCAATTCAGTGTATTTTTAATTCAGGGACAAAACACACGAAAAGA